GACACGGTGCAAGTACTGAATTACAACAGCAACCACCCAATCAGCCACAAACACATTTGCGTAAGTACACTCTATCGGCGCGTTGAGACTCAGTGCAGCTAACCAGAAGATAAAGTTGCCGAGGTACAATACCTTCGACGGATATTCAGAGAAAATGACTTCCCGCGCAACTTCGTCAACCGGTGCCTTTGCAAAAGAGATGGCCAACAAAGGCGCACCGACTCCAAAATTTTGCGAGCGATCCCGTACGTCAAGTCTCGGAGGCTGTCGGCTGCCTTCTCGCCCAACTTCGAGTTGGAGTCGCACACAGGCCGGAAGAAACCATAAGGCGTAAAATAATGAAACCGAAAGACCCACTGCTACGCCAAGCAACATCTGGAGTCGTCTACAGAACATGGTGCAGTTGCGGGAAAAGCAAATATGTCGGAGAAACTGGCAGGTTTCCGAAGACATGAATTGCAGAACACGCGGCAGCAGTTTGGCAAAACGATGCCAATTCTTAAGCTGCGATTCATTCGACGAAACCCGGTCACACATTAAAATTTGATGAGGCCGAGATTTTCGCAAAAGGTGACAATCGGGTGAGCTGAGAATTATTCGGGTAATGGTTCACCGGTCCCCAGTCCATCAACAAGTTCAACGATTTGCCCAATCCATATTTGGTGCTGATACTAAATTTGGCCAGAGCAGGTTGCTACTTAGATAACGGACAGGGCACCGCCTCATCCTATACCAGTACCGGAGGGCCATTTGACCAGGCTATCATAACGCCAGAGTCCACCACGCGTGATGAAAGGTCAGCAGGTCAGAGCCCGCATGCCGTTCAACAGACCTCCAACACTCAAGAATGCAATTACGGTTAATTTTCGTCGTATGTTTGCAGTAATTACTGTTGCCAATAAATACTGCAAACTCCTGTGCATGTGCTACCCTATCTGATATTGCTCTGTCACTATGTCTCTGATGACGAAACCACGACCGATATCGAAACGCCAGGCGAATAAAAATATTGTCCCAACGATCGCGTCGTCCTCTTTTTCTGCTCAATACCTACTACCTTTTATTTCCACTAAAACT